GGGTATTCACAGAAAGATACAATTTACAGGTCACAATGTAATAGTAACCTTTCACTGTAAAGTGGAAATCAACCTTGGCATATTGGATCATTTGAACTTATAAAGGTATTGTCTTAGGTGGGAAGGGGCGCTGCGGTCAGGTGCCCAACCCTCCTCTGGGTGGGATTGTTCTGTTAACATGCATATGTCCTCAGGTACTATAGTTTGGAGCAAGTTCTGACTCTATTACAATACTAGATCATCTGTTGATGATCTTCATTCTCACACCCTGGAGACTTGGAGTGAGAGTTTTAATTTCAGCTCCACTGTGGCACATTGTTGGGCATTTACCATACCGTCTTTCTAACCAGAAGAACACTGGTGCTGAGAGGATAGGTGCACATTGCTATTGCTGTGTGACAAACTGCCCTGAGACTTGGGTATAGAGAACCATTTGATGTCCTCACATTCTTTCTACAGTCAGCCAGGTAGGTCCACACACAGGAGAGTATTCCAACTTTTACATCCCTCCTCCAGGTAGAGATGACAAGGCCAAGAATGTACAGTGACTCAGCAAGCTCATTGATGATGTCCTTGAAGAATTAAGTTCTTTACTGTATCCTCAGAAACAGGAAATCACAAGCAAAGAATTTCTAGATGACGTCTTCTCATAGTATTGAGCTTTCTGTTAACTGTATATGATTTATCATGAGGAAGAGGGTATAGAGATCTCACTAAGACCAGCAGGATGGATAGAAGTAGTATTTTGCTGAAAAAAAAAATATATATATATACACACACACAAAAGAAAAAACTCTGAATTGCATATTGAAGGTGGAGGGCCTTGAGTCAGTGAGGTAAATTTCCATGTGTCTCCAGAGCAGTGTACTCTTAAGACAATAGACTCAAACACAGTACTTCAGATGAAGTCTGGCCAACTCAGAGTACAGTAGAAGTTCAAGGTCTTGAATTTATTCTGACTTGGTGTTCTGTCATATCTTGGTTCATTTCCTAATCTGCTAAGTACATTTTGCAGTTTGATCATAGTTTTTAGATAATAATAGGTATTCCCTGTATAAGAATACCTTTTTAATTTTCCAATCACAGATGTTAAACAGAAAGGGTCAAATTCAAACATTTTCCCAGAGTGTAATTCTTCCATCAGTACTATGAACTGGGACCAGAAGCATCCTTTGCCCTCAGCCTGTAGTATGGTAGACACTGAGCAGGTGCACATGGATGTCCCAACTTCACTTGTAGGGTTAGTTAAGCAGATCTATGTGACTTTTCTTCTAGATGTGGAAGCTAGTTATGTAATTTCCTAGTGTTGCTTATAGCAAAAATAATAATTCTATATAGTTATTTCCTTTTACTTGGCATTATAGTATCAACTAACTACAATTTTATTAGTTTAAATGAAATTTATATTTTGAAATGACAAATTTTGGCTGGGGAGATATTCAAACACTGTGGTCATTGCTATTTAGATAACAGGTCTTTGAATTTTGCTCAGTAACTGAGGTTATGGAATTAGCTAGTGCAGGCAGGGCCAGAGACCTCACAGAGACAGGGATGGAGGCCCAGCAGCCAGCAGCTTTCTGCTACAGAATGGACTTGCAGCCACTGTGCCCCCTCCAGGTAATTAATTTCACTCTTAATCCTGATTTCTACAATTATTTCATTCTACTTATCATATCTTCACTCTACTGTGTAAACTTTTTTAAAATTTGAATTTAAAATTCAAAAAGATAGCCAAGCATTGTGGCACACACCTTTAATACCAGCACTTGGGAGGGAGAGGCAGGTGAATTTCTGTGAGTCTGAGGCTAGCCTAATCTACATAGGGAGTTCCAGGCCAGCTGGGGCTACAGGGAGACCCTGTCTCTTTTTTTTTTTTTTTTTAAAAAAAAAAAAAAAAAAAAAAAAAAAATTCAAAAAGCTGTTGAAAGAAAAATTTCCCAGTGCATTAACTGCATATGGTTTGTAACTAGTAACTTAAAACTGCCTGCATCTGTGTTTATTATCTAAAACAACCTTCATGCTTATTGAGTTCACTCATTTAGGAGAATCTAGGAGATGTAGGTACAGGAGTGAAGATCCCAGGAGGGAGACTTCGTGAAGAGTGCAGTGTGGCTACAGGGCTGCCTGGCTATTTCAGTCATACCTCAGCAGCCTAAAGGGGGAGGAAGCATCACTTCTCCTCTTGGTACAGGGTCTTGGACATTATAGTGCTCCATCCCAGCACACACTCCATTCCATAAGCTGCTTCTGTCCTGAAAAGCCCCTGACTGGTTCTGCCCCACTGTCCTTGGCATTCCCTGCATGAACCTGCATGTGTACAGGGAGTTCTCAGCATTACAGGTAAAGAAACAGCTCCCCATCCCAGACTCTGAAAATCTTCTGGAAGTATGCAGTTCAGTTTGTGGGAAATTACTTAGAAAACCTGATTCTAAATGATTCCTAGTCTGCCTAAACGATCAAAATGGCCTCTGTGCAAAAAGGCTGAGAATCAAACCCCTACCTGTATCTGATTGGTAACCACATATGCATCGCACTGGAGGTCCCTCCCAACTGTAAGGCTTTTACCTTCCACTGAATCCTGAGAAGTGACCTCAAGCATGGCCATTGTACAGACAAAGAAACATTTTAGAGGTTGCCACAAGACACTGAATCCATAAATCTGGCACAAGACAGAATTTAAGTGTTCTTAATTATTTGCATTCTCAAAGCCCAAGATGAAACCGGATGTACAGGTGGTGGTAAAATTGACAGAATTTAGAGAACAAGGAAGGAAAACAAGAGTTGGGAAAGTAGACCAATGCCAGATCTTCAACAGGACAGACTACGTCTTATTCAAACACAGCCACAGCCAGTGACAGCCGCCCTCCCGTGGGATGGAAGCAGCTGTGTTATATGTGAGGCGAGGCAGTGATAATATAGTGGGCATGAGGAAGCGGATGCTTCTGTGGCTGGCTGCCGAGGTCTACATGTCTCATTCTCTAGAGGCCCTTGCTCAAACAGGAAAAGCTATCTTGAGCAGCAGCCAGTCTCCAACAGTCCCAGAGATAAATAAGGGTTTAAGGGTTGGCTGTAGTTTGGGAAGTAAATTAGCAGCAATGTAGAAATAGATAAGGTTCATTAGTGGTTTTGGAAGACTTATGTTTCTCTATCAGAAAGCATGGATGAGCCTACCCTATACTGAAAGAGGCTCGTGTTCAGCAAGAATTGTGAATCCTGCCAGGTGGCAAAGTTGCAGCTATAGGACAGAGGCTAGGGGAGGCCCAACCTTGAGATCACTGAAAAAAGTCGTGGCCTTGCTGGGCTGTGGTGTCACATAGTCACTCTGGTGATGTTCCTTTAGTGGCTAATAGGGTTGCTGTGTCATGTTTTAACTGTCCTGTGATGGAATTGCTTTTAAAGACAACCATTTTTCCAGAAAACACTGTCATAAAATACTGTTCATGTAATAGTAACTTAAAATTTATTTTTCCACTTATGTTTTTAAATTTTATAATAAATAACTATAAACAAGAATAACCCCTATTTTCAAACGCCTACATATGCCAGAGAATTTACTTATTTCATTTGAGCCTTAGAACAGTTTGCAAGTGTGCTTTTCGTATTACAGAAGAAGAAAGCAGACCTTGGCAAAGTGAAGGCTTAGAAAGAGCTCCTGGCCATCGACTTTGCTATTGTCCCTGACCTAGTTAGCATTACCTATCAATTTAATGCAGACTAGAATCACTTGAAAAAGTATCAGTTGAGTAATTCTTTTAATCAGGTTGGACTGTGGCCATGTCTGTGAGGGATTGTCTTGATTATTGATTCAGGAGGGCCCAGTGCACTGTAGGCAGCACCATCCCTAGACAGGTCCTGGACTATATAAGAAAGCTAGCTAAGCATGAACTTGGGAGTGAGCAATGGAACAAGCCAGCAAGTAGCATTCCTTCATGATTCCTGCCTACTGGTTCCTTCCTTGTGTTCCTGTCCTGACTTCCCTCAGTGATGAATTATGACCTGGATATGTAAGCCAAATAAACCTTTCCTCCCCAAGTTACTTTTGGTCAGAGTGTTTTATCATAGCAACAGGCTAAAACTAGGATAGTCTCCTTGACATTTGCAGCTATTATGTACACACTGAGGTTTATTGTCATGAGTTCATTAATCAGATATCAGTTTATCTCTTGTGCTAGAAAAAAAGATAAATAGAATGTAAAGCTGTTGGCTCCTTCATGAAGCCTGTAGAATTCCCATTAGGGAATTGGGACAAATCATGGGAGTCACTCCAGGATAGGTAGGTAGGCACCCTTGCATAGGATTTAAAGTCATTTGGCAAGGACTAAAGAGATGTCTCAGTGGTTAAGAGCTCTTGCTGCTCTTTCAGAGGACCTTGGTTCTGTTCCTAGCACTCACATGGCAGCTAGCAACCATCTGTAACTACAGTTTCATGGAATCTGACACCTTCTTCTGGCCTCCACAGGCAATGCACATTTGTAGTGTACTTACACACATGCAGGCAAAACACTCACACATACAAATTTTTTTTAAAAATAATAAATTTTTAAAAATTGTAACCATTTGGTTTGGGAAGCCAATCAACACAAGTTGCAAACCAGTCTTCATGACGCATAACAATGTTTGTTTGTTTGTTTGTTTGTTTATTCATTTTTGTAACAGAGTTTCATTTTGTAACCCTGGCTGGCCTAGAACTCACTATGTAGACCACGCTGGCCTTGAACTCACACAGATTCACCTCCTCTGCATCTGCCTTCTGAGTGTTGGAATTAAAAGCATGTGCCACCATGCTTAGCAATAATGGTCTATTTTAAACAAAAAAAGGTTTTTGTTCATTTGTAAACGTGCCATTCAAAAGTACACAGGACAGAAATGAAAAGTTCTTGTGCTTTAAGTTTCTCTGCATCCATTGTGTCTCTGTGCACTCTCTGCACACCAATATGCTATGTTGCTCCATGTAACTTATCCCAAGCAATTGGGCCTCACACACACTGTGGTCTCCTCAGGTGGCGCTGGTGCATTGGACAGAGAGCGTTGGGCTCACCCTGGTCAGCAGAGATCTTGCTTCCATGCAGCTAAAGACCCCTGGGGGTCAGGTCCTGACCTACTACATCCTGCAGATGTTCCCTTTCACCTCCGAGAGCAAGCGGATGGGCATCATTGTCAGGGTATGTCATGAGTATATCAGCTATACTCACAGACACTGATGTGACACACTCACTGATTATTCCAGACATTTCTTTTCCAGTCTTTCAAAGTATATACAAAATCCCCCCCCAAAAAAAAAAACTTTGTTAAGATTAAATATTTACTCAAATACTTTGCTTATTATTGTTCCTTTAACAAAAAAGTCCAAAAGATGGCTCAGCAGTTAAGAGCACTGACTGCTCTTGCAGAGGACCTGGGTTCAATTCCCAGTACCCACATGGCAGCTAAGAACCGTCCTTAACTCCAGTTCCAGGAGACTCTGAAACCCTCTGTTGACCTCCACAGCATTGCACGACACAGATGCACTCACATACATGCAGGCAATACACTCATACATAAAATAAAAATAATAAAGAAATTTTTTTTAAAAAGCTCAATTAATAATGAATGAGCTGAGCTGAGAAGCTAGTGTGACTGTAATAAAGTATCTGGTGATATAAAGTAACTATCCTAAGATCACCAAAGCAGAGTAAATAAAAGAAATTAGTAGGTTTTTAAAATTAAAATTGTTTTGTCCTCAACACAGGTAGCATAGCTGAAGAATTTACTTTTGATTTATGACCATGAAGTTGCTAATACATACCTTTGTTGAGGTTTCCTCATCCAATACCAAGAATGTATCTTGGAATTCCATTTGTTAAATAGTGAACATTGCATCACACTTGGGAAATTGGAGAGAACTGATGCTTCTACCACAGCCCAAACCTGTTTGAAGAGTTAAAGTGTAGCATCTAGAGTGTTGCTGCTCTTGGTTCTTACTACATTGGCATTTATGGGAGATTTCTACATAGAAACCGCACATGCAGCTCACATGGCACATCCTCTAAGGCCCACTTTCTCCAGATCACCTCCTTTAGGCCAGCAGTTATTTAAAGGAGCATTGTAGCCCAGCTGTCCATGTGTTTATTTTCACACCCCCACACAGGATGAATCCACAGCAGAAATCACGTTTTATATGAAAGGTGCTGATGTCGCCATGTCTACCATCGTCCAATACAATGATTGGCTGGAAGAGGAGGTGAGCAAGTTACTCTCAGCATTGTACAAAATGTGTTCATGAAATTTAGTAAGATAACAGAAAAGAAATACTTTTCCTTGCTTGTAACACTTTTTACCATCGGAATAAGTCATGCTATCACCATTTCAAGGAAGACACTGCTTGGTTGCCAGGAATGGTATTATTTTTCCATTAAATCATTTTAAATGCTTACAATTCTTTCCAATTTCAAAAAAACAGAAATGAGCCCTGGCTAGTTATAAAAACGGTGCTTCCTATAGAAATAACCACCATTTTTGTTTAGTGTATAGAGTGTGCAGATATGTACAGGTAGATCTAAAATAACATTGGATAAATAAATAATTGGGCTTCAATATGTTTATTTTGTAACCTCAGTATTTCAGGAAGATTTAATTGGTATTTTAATCTAATGCTAACTTGTTCACTTAAAAAGAAAACAGAAAATTAAGGGACTGGAGAGATAGCTCAGTGGCTAAGAGCACTGGCTGCTCTTGCAAAGAACCTGGGTTCTGTTCTCAGCACCCACCTGGTAGCTAACAACCATCTGTCACTCCAATTCCAGGAGATCCAAAGTCTTCTGCTCTCTGAGCACAATGAGTGCTCTGAGCACATGTGGATGCACTTTCATACATGCAGGCAAAACACTAATACACACAAATTAAAAATAAATTTTAAAAAAACAGAAAATGGTCTATAAATATAAACAAATATAATTTGTAGCTATCCTTATGAGGTTATACTATTTATTGTTGAGTTTGTATATTGATCAATAGTTGGGTTTCAGAGTAAAACTAAGGCCCTTAAGATTATAGTGAGGGCCCTTCTTCTTGTAGGCCAGTTCCTATATTATGGCCAGTTCCTTGGTCTCTTGTCACACCCTGAGACCTCGGAGATGATCTGCTAGCACAACAGCCACACCCAGTATTCACAATGGTCTTAATGATATGAATCAATATCTCCTTGAGGGCACTTTGATTTAATCAGAGACATGAATAAATTAAATTCCCTGGAGACCTAGTAAAATGCCATAAAAATTACTTTTGGTCATAATGACATGCAATTAATTGTAAAATACTTGTTTAATTTATTTAGCTTTATGAGGTCAAATCAATAAATGTCTTGCAATAGACAGATAATGTCAGATTGTTTTTCAGAACGATAACTTCATTAAAAATCCTGTGTGCATTTCTTTGCTCAACATTGTACTTTCTTTCCCTAGATAAATGGTTTGCCTCTTCACCAGTGTCTTTGTTATGATACTATTATAACCTGAAAGCCTTTCACTTTATTAAAACCAAAGCAGAAGAGTGGTGCAGCAAAATTCCAGAGGGCAGTTATTTATATTTATGTGGATTCAAATTCCTTAAAGCCTTACTCCTACCCACAGTGTGGTAGGAATTCCCTTGTTTAGAAGTCATGGTATTTGTTTACAAGTATAGGTAGGCCATGAGGCTGCAGAGACTACTTAGCAGTTAAGAGTACTTGCTGGGGCTGGAGAGATGACTCAGGAGTTAAGAGCACTGGCTACTCTTGCGAAGAACCCGGGTTTGGTTCTTAGCTTCCACACGGTGGCTAACAACCATCCGTAACTTCAGTTCCACGGGGTCCCATGCCCTCTTCTGGCATCTGTAAGCATTGCATGCACTGGTTCACTTGCATGCAGGCAAAACACTCATACACATAAAAATAAGTAAATAAAATTTTTCATAGGAAAAAAAAGAGCACTTGCTGTTCTTGCACCAGACCTGGGTTTGTTTCTGAGCACTCACATGGTGACTTACAACACTGTGTAACTCCAGTTCCAGGGGATCTGGAGCTTCCATCTGGCCTCTGTGGATACCAGTCATACACACAGTCTGCATACATGCAGACCCATACACATAGGGCCATATTTCTAGCAGTGGAATTGATGCTACTAGAGCAATTAAGATTTTGAAATAAATGGACAGCTACATTCAAACATGTGTTCCCAGCCCACAACCAGCCTTATACGAGAAAGCCTGTTTCTTCACATGAGCCCCAGGTAAAACTTTTCTTCTTTTGTAGGGGAGAAAGGTATTTTAAAATAATTATTATGGTACTGTAAATGGGGTTAGCATATTTTCACACACTTATTGAATATATTTCTAATTCCTGTTTAATAGTTAAATAGGATCATGACTCATCCAGGGCTAACACCCTTCCCTGCCTACCAGATGTGTGGGGTGATGACCCTGCATAATCAAATGTTTGTGGTGCTGATTTTCTACCAGACACTGGCATGAGACTTTACACCAGTGAGCTCATGTGGTCCCAGAATAACCTTGGAAAGCACTTTGCTGGGCTTCAGGAGAACACTTGGACCCCAACTCCATCAAATCTCTCCCCCAACCAAGAGAGAGATGATAGTAGAGACTTCTCATGGGTTGGAATACAGTGGTGGGGATAGAGTAAGTATTCTGTGTGTATATGTCCTCTTAACTCCGCCAGGCTTTGCCTGCACCTCTTCACTGCAGCTTTATTGTAGGTCCTAAAAGTTCCCATGCTTTTATGTAGTAGGCCTGCAGGGAGGTGAGGGCAAGCTAGCAGCATTGCCAGAGAGTAGTTTTGACAGTTCCCCGAGGCCCCCTTACTACCATTCCGGTATTATGGGAGCCAGAGTGATAGCCCCTTCTCTTGCAGTGTGGAAACATGGCACGTGAGGGGCTGCGGACCCTTGTTGTAGCAAAGAGGACTCTGACAGAAGAGCAGTACCAGGACTTTGAGGTGAGTGATTCCAGTCCTTGCCATTCAGACTTACCTTCTCTATGGGAACATTTTTCCCACCAAAGTGCATCCTGACAAGGCCAGTGTCCCTGCAGTTTGGGAAAGGCAGTGTCCACAAAACTAGAAGTTCCAATTCCTCAATAGAGGCTAAGCATCCCTCATTCCTTTCTGGTCATCTTGGAAACAAAAGTAGTACAGTACAGTAGTACAGATAGTAGTACAGAGAGTAGTACAGACAGTAGTACAGATAGTAGTACAGATAGTGGTACAGTATAGTAGTACAGAGAGTAGTACAGAGAGTAGTAGTACAGTACAGTAGTACAGACAGTAGTACAGATAGTAGTACAGACAGTAGTACAGATAGTAGTACAGAGAGTAGTACAGACAGTAGTAGTACAGACAGTAGTACAGATAGTAGTACAGAGAGTAGTACAGATAGTAGTAGTACAGATAGTAGTACAGTACAGTAGTACAGAACTGTTAGATTTTGGAATATTTTGCATAAGCAACTTGCTCAGTTATCCATAGCCCCCAAATCCAGAATGGTCCCAAATATGAAGCTTTTTTATCATGATGTCAGTACTCAGGATGTATCCGACTTTTGAGCATTTCAAACTTTTATATTAGGGAAAATTCAAATTATAAATTTTCATGTAGTAAAGGATTACAAACACCCATTTGGAACACTCAGAGTATGTACCCAGCATGTCCTCTAGGCCCCCAAGAGCTGATGTAGTCCAACTATGTGGGATACACAGAATATGTACACATGTGAACACCTATCTTCTATGCCTCTGGAGCTGATGCAGTGCAGCTGTGTCGGTCACATACATGAAGCAGGTATGTACTTATACCCATTCCTTCTGTCCTCAGAGCCGATATAGTCAAGCCAAATTGAGCATCCATGACCGAACACTGAAAGTAGCTGCAGTGGTGGAGAGCCTGGAGAGGGAGATGGAGCTGTTGTGCCTCACTGGGGTAGAGGACCAACTGCAGGCTGATGTGAGGCCCACGCTCGAGATGCTGCGGAATGCTGGGATCAAGGTACAGCCCATGGCCTTTTGACTGCCAAAACTGCTTTCCTATTGAATTGATCTACTTTTGTTCCTTGAAGTACTGTTCTGTGATACTTTGTGGGATGAGGAGAGGGGTGCAGAAGACAGCTTCTTCCTTATTCCCTGCCATCCTAATCTTTGCACCTCCAGAAAGGCCCACAGTGCCCCTACTGTAGACTTTCTCTGATGTTCTTTTTCTCTTTCCACTCTTGAGACATTTTAACCTTTTTGAAGCAGGTCTCTGGTCCTGTCTCTCCCCATGACACATTTACTTCCTGAGGATAATCTTAGAGCCTATCAGCTCTTGACAGGTGTGGGCAGCCTGAGGTTCAGCACTTGCCTGTTGTTCCTCATTTTTCATACTCCATCCAAACCCTGCACCATCAAGACCAAACATGAACCTTCCTGCAGTGCACTCCCAATTCCCAGGTCATTCAGTGAGCATCTGTCACCCTTGATGCATTCAAATGTCATTACTACATTGTAGGTGGCACTTGTTTGGTGAAAAGGTAAGAGCAGGAAAAGCTCAGTCTTGCATGGGCTATGGGTTTCATTTGCTGCTGAAACTTGCACATGCTGAATCACCTCGTCCTCCAGAGCTGATCATGGACAGAAACTAGATGATAGGTTGGGTCATTCAGAAGCTGTGTCATTTGTTCAGCTCAGTTGTACTTCTGAAGCCGGAGGGGCATGTGCTGATAAGCTGCTCTTGCACTGCTGCCCAGTTACCAAATGCAGCACCAGGATCCTTCCTCCTGGGTTGTGCAAGCATGCAGATGCAGGTACAGGTGCAGAAGTGCTTTTCTCCCCACACTGTTTGTCAACACACATGAGTTCTTGTGGCTACTGCATGACTGTCAGGAGACTGCCATCTCTCCCAGGTCCTCCCCTTGCCCACACAGCATCCAGCTTCCCAGCCACCCCATAGTTTATATTGACAGTTGGAACAGTATCTGCAAGACTCCAGCTAACGTTCCTGTATGAGTGGTGAGGTTCAGCACCTTTCCCAGTAGAGCTAGTTTCTGGTGTGGCGTTTTCCCTAAAGGCCACAGGGCAGATAGCTCTCTCCCTACCTGCTGTCCTGTGATCTTCATTTGTCTCTTCATTGTCTAGGAAATCTACCACTTATGATAGAAGTTTAGTTTCAAGGAAGCTGCTTTCTTAGCTCTGCCTCAAGGATTTGAGACTAATTTTGAAGATGAGAGAAAAAAAGTACAACTTGACTTTGAAATAGAAATTCTCCAGCTGAATGATGAGGCAGAATAAGGTCAGAGGTGCAGTGGTGCCTGGCTTCAACTTGCCTTGTCTGCCTGAGTTCTGAGAACTTGTAGTGGGCAGAAGCATGACAAGATGCGGTATCAGCTCCAGTAGTAACAGGTAGCATGAAGTAAAGCTGCATTGCTATCAGAGCATCAGACAGGACTCACAGAGAGGAATTCAGACTCAGCATCTGAGTCACACACCTTAATTACACTGTGCAGCCAACACCAGATGAAGAAATGGTTAATTAGGAGCAAGTGACCTGACTATTTTAAATCACCTGTGATCTGTGTTGTGGCTATGCATGCTAGATTATCAATATATTAAGGTATTAAAGGTTCCTGGTATAGAACTTTGAGTATTTGTAAGTAATTCTGTGCTCAAGTGTATAAGATTTATAGCTGAAGTCCTCAACCGTCTTACCTCTTCTTCATGCACCATCTGATTCTAGATTCTGCTCTGAAGCTAGAAGTGTATTTCAACCGTACCTCATATTTCCTGAGTAACAGAGGTTGCTCAGTAGATACAGTTCTTACTCAGTTTGTCAAAATAACATCTCATCATCATAGGTGTAGTAAACAAATGACAGCATGCTGGTTAAACAGAACACAAACCTTCAGGCTCGGAACAACCACAGCTGATTATACTGCATGAATAATAAGTAGGCCATATAGGCTTTTCTAATTCCTGCCTCCAAAAATGTATCTTTATACATGATAAAAAAAAATCTGAGAAACTCAGAACAATGAAAATATTAGTACAAGTACTTTGTTATTCTGTATATAAGAAATATATCCTGCTATGCATTAAATGACCTGATGTTTTAGTTTTTAATACTATAGATTAGGGCTTCTTGAATTTTTTTTCCACTCACACCCCTTTTTGCCTGGGAAATTTTTTTTACATGACCCCGAGTATATATAGGTATGCAAAATAGACTTACAAATCAAACATTTGTTGTTGATAGCACATCATAAAGAAATTTATTT